CCATAAGTGAGCAAGTTTGTCTGTGGTTTGCTCGCCATTATCTTCCAGCACTCAGCACTGGCTCATTAAAATATCATTAATGAACAAACTGATGATTATGTCATGCTTTTTGCACTTTGTTGTTATTTATACCCTGCCTTTATAATTCCAAGGGTAACCTTTCGATATGCTAACTAAAATTTTTTAACATCTACTGAAATTGGCCCAAACACAAGACACAGATACTCCTAGAAGGAAAGCGATTCATTCAGGTACCAAACTCATGCCTTAACAACCATCTTAACATCTCAGTAGGCAAAGGCCTTTTATAGAGGGATCCTGGAAAGGGGGGAATTAAAGAATTTTGGTGATGTGCAGTTTTACATTCCAGCTCTTGGTTGCTTTTGGTACTCTCTTTCATGTGTGTCAGTGTCTGGTGTTTTGTTTTGTTTTTCTCTTGGCAGTTTTTATTTCTGGGGATAGGATGTTGCAGGCCTGGCCAGCCATCAGCATCTGCTACACTCCTGGGGTTGAGGCCAGTGAAAAGGGGACTCCTGGAACTCCTGTTGCCTGTAACATGCTTACATATGAAACTATTAATATTTTAGGCTATAAGTTTTTTGTTAGTATACTCTTACTTTTAATTTTTGGCTAGTTAGCTAATTAAATGTGAGTTGTTGTTTTTTAAAAATATTCTATACCGTGTTACACCACAGCTGAAAGTCTTTTTGTACTTAAGGTTTCATTGAGCCAAAAGCACTAGCCAAAAGATGGGTCTTGGGGCATAGAATCTAAACCAGTGGTTCTCAACCTTGGCTGCACATTAGAACCATCTGGGAATCTTTTTAAAATCCTGATTTCTTTAAAATAAAATTGTTTCTTTGTTACTAATGTTGTGGCCTCACCCCATAACAAAGAAACAGAATTTCTGGAGGATGAGGCCCAGAAATCAGGATTTTAAAAAGATTCCCAGGTGATTCTAATGTGCAGCCAAGGTTGAGAATCAACTGATCTAAACCAACTGGGTTAGCAGTGGAAGTGGGGTTCTTGGGATACTGCTGGATAAGCATTTGTGGAGGCCCCTGTGAGAGGATGAGATACGGTAGAAAGCTTTATTTCTGTGGAATTACATCCCTTTAGGAAAGCCAGCAGCAAAGTCAGAGTCTAGTTTCCTTTCCATGTTGAAGCTGGGTCCAGTACCGGACAACATCAAGCTGGTTGTAGTCCATTAGTCCATTGTGTGTGGGGGGCCACATGGCCATAGGCCACACAGGAGAATACAGGAGGGTGTGCCCCAAGCCACGAGGGTACCAAAGGTCCTGAAAGCACAGGAGCACAAAAGCATAACAGAGTGAGTTTCTTTGTTCAGGGGATGAAATATCCCAAATCTTCTTGTGTTTGCAGTGGCCACGCCCATTTTGGCCGATTGATACTGTTGTAATTAACCTATTTAGGTATTAATAATAGGAAAGGGGAGGCCAAATATTATAGGCATTTCATTTAGGCAGCTTCACTAGGAAGCTAAAGCTTTACACTCCCCAGGAATCATCAGTACATTCCCCACAGGTCCCCGGGGGAAGGGCCTGGACAGGGAGAAGAATAGACACATGCCCAGTAAAGTTGGGGTGACCGTGGGAAGGTACCTGCCTGTCAGTCCCACCTGGGAACAGGTCATTGGCCAGAGTGGTCACTGCAAGGGTGTGAAATTTGGGATATTGAATCCCCTAAACCAAGGAGTTTGCCCTCCTGCTTTCTCTTACGCTCTTGGCGTGTTGTGCTTGACTCCTGGCTTGTAGGGCTCTCTTGCCCCTGCTTCCTGGCATTCTCCCATGTGGCCATGGGCCATGTGGACTCCTCTCCCCCGCAACATACACACATACATTGGGTTAATGGACTACAACCAACTTGATGCTGAACAGGACCTGGCTGCCACATGGAATGGAATGGAAACTGGACACTGGCTTTGCTTCTGGTTCTACTGAAACACAGCTGCACTTCCTCTATAACTGGACTAAGGGAAATGGGGCATTAGAAATGCAGATTTAATTCTATGCAAGCCCCAGAAAATTCTTTTTCTGAGGATATCATAAGGACCCCACCCACAGCTCCTAGTGAGGAAGAGTTTACCCCAATTTCTCCAATAACACAATGACCTCTGTTCCCAGGTGTGATTGGCAGTAAGCACCTTCGCTAGTCCCCTGAACTTTATTGGGCATGCATCTATCTTCTCTTTGCTCCTTTCCTGTTATTAATAACTAGGTTAATTGCCAGCAGCATGGCTAGGTAGAAAAGACAGCATCTCGATGGTCCCAGAGTTTTGGAAGCATTTTATACATCAAGTAGGGGAAGGGAGAAGTAAGTGGTAATATGAAAGAATTTACATGAGTTATAGGCAATGAAGTTGGGGAAGGTGAAACGGGACAGCCCTGGGATAGTTTCAGAGTTGGAATAAAGAAATGTCTGCTCTTGTAGATTGGCTGAGGGTAGCAGTCTGAAAAGCCCTCCTGTAAACAGGTGGGACTCCTGGTGTTAGATGTATGAATGAAAAAAAGGGGCCAAATACTAAACCTGACAAGCTCAGGGGAGGCCTGTGTGGCAGCCTTTACAAACTCAGAGACCTACAGTAACCACACAGGATGGTCTGAAAGGAAAACTTTTTTTTTAAAGTATATTTTATTAATTTTACAGAGAGGAAGGGAGAGGGATAGAGACTTAGAAACATCAATCAGCTGCCTCCTGCACACCCTGCAACCAAAGTACATGCCCTTGACTGGAATTGAACCTGGGACTCTCCAGTTTGCAGGCTAATGCTCTATCCACTGAGCCAAACCAATTAGGGCTGAAATGAAAACTTTTTAACTAAAAGAGGTTCATGGTGGTAGTCTCGACCTAAGGCAATATATTTCCCTAACAAAGGTCAATCCTCACCTTAACTAAGCCTGCCTATTGTCTTTTTGTATCTAGGATAACATACCTGATAAATATGCCTTAGAAATAACAAAGTAATTTTCCTTTTGCTGGACCCCTCAAAGCACAGGCATTGAACCTGCAGAGTGGAGACCAGAAATCCCCTCATTGTATGGTTATCATGCTAATTGTTGACTGTTATCTATCCTGTACTCACCTATGTAAAAGAACTATGTGCCTATCATTTTACTTTTTATCCAATCCCAGAGGTCCTCCCACCCATTCTCCCTAATCCATCACCAATGGATTTCATGTAACCCACTTACATCTTTTCTTTTGATTGTAATGTATAAAATAAGGTGCAAAACTAACATTTTTTTCTGGAGCATTTTCTCAATCTGTTGAGTTTTTGCTTCCCAGCAATTGTCCTCAGTTTGGCTCAAATAAACTCATAAAAATCTCTATACATTTGAACGTTTCTTATGTTGACATTGGTGCCTGGATAAAATAACCTGTGGAAATATCCACCTGGAAATTAATCTGCAATTCCAACAGGCAAAACAGGAATGTGAGAAGTGTTTTGCTAACTGGTCAGCATCCATTAACAGACTAGCAGTTCTGTCTCTTTCACTCTCCTGCTGTACCTTAATTAGAATTTTTTTCTTATCACTTTCATAAACTTTATCAAATGTCTGTTGTAATCATCACAAAAAGATTTTAACGCTCAACATCTGGCCTTAACCATATGGACAATTTCCAGCCTATTTCCCCCTTAACCAGATCTGTTCAAACAAAGGGAGGGTTGTTGCCCTGCTGTATCTGTTACAGGGCAGTGAAAAGCTAGGGAAATCTCAGGGCAAGAAGAATAGGGAAACCGAGACAGGAAAGTTAAAACAAGGCCAACCAGTGTGGGCAATTTGCAGCTGGCTTGTAAATAACAAGCCATTATCATCCCCAAACCAAGGACACTTGAGAGCTAATGGTTAAAAGCTCCCTAACCAGAGGGTGCAGAAAAGGAGGGGGAAAGATGAAAGAAATAAGGGCAGTTTTACTCCCTAAGCCAGCGGTTCTCAACCTGTGGGTCGCGACCCCTTTGGGGGTCGAACGACCCTTTCACAGGGGTCGCCTAAGACCATCGGAAAACACATATATAATTACATATTGTTTTTGTGATTCATCGCTATGCTTTAATTATGTTCAATTTGTAACAATGAAATTGGGGGTCATCACAACATGAGGAACTGTATTAAAGGGTCGAGGCATTAGGAAGGTTGAGAACCTCTGCAAGCAGAAAAGCCAGCAGTTTCAAGGTTTGGCAAGATAAAATTGCCAGGTGCTTCCCATGAATTCTGGGAAGGCTGTAACAAAGTAAAACGGGACCGTGAGAATTAATGTGTACCAAAATATTCAGCCGAGGCATTCTGAAACCTGTAGACAGGAAGGTATATAACGCTTCGGACCCCCACCCAACTCGCTCTTCAGATTAGCTGGGAGCCCACCTGCGCTTTAGAAGCCCGAGGTCTAGATTTGCTTGCTTCTGTAATAAATTTGCTTGCTTTAATAAAACTGGCTCCATCACAGCGCAATCATCTGGCGTTTTCTCATTTAAATTCATTTATGTGAGAAGACAAGAATTGAGATTGGGGCAGCCCTCTCCCAGTGGCTCAGGTGTCTGTGAGAGGTGCCTCTAACATCTCCAAGAATATGAACTTACTTTTTACGCTGCCTGTAGGAACCCAATAAGCTGCACCAGCCTCTTTACCAACACAAACCACCAACACCTCACGGCCCATGTGCACAACAATTGTTGTCATTCACCATCAGAAATGAAAAGAAATGAAATGAAATGAAAGCAGGCAGCGCAGGGGCTGCACCAGGCGGCGCGCGTTTGGGCTCCCGAAGCCCAAGGCCAAGGCGCTCACTCTGGACTGCAGGGCCCCCCGGGAGGCGGGGAACCAGCACCCCGGCCGCTGGAAAGCGCCTGGAAGGCCCACTGAGTGACAGCCAGGAGGCAGGAAGGGGCGGGGTCAGAGTGGGTAGCTGGGCGCGCGGGCCAGGAAGGGGCGGGGCGGACCAGGAAGGGGCGGGGCGCGGCCGCCCTCGGAGCCCGCGTTCTGGCGTTTTTCCGTTTCGGTGCCAGCGGTCAGGCGGCGGTGACAGTTCCAAAATGAGCGAGGCGGCTGGGCTCCGGCAGCGCCGGCCCCCGCGGCCGCCGGTCGTCACGGACGACAGCCAGACCCCGGAGGCCCAGGATGGCAGGTAGGCCCGGCCCCCAAGCGTGAGGATGGCCGTGACAGCAGCCGGGTAAACGGTGCCAACGCGCGGCACGCGCCCGTGTCGGGTAGTCCCTGTGGCAACACTCGCCTTACGGGGAGGAAACAGGCTCCGTCCAAGCGGATGCCCCTGCCGGGTCCTGGAGGCTTTGGGCCCCCTCTGCGCTCTGTCACTGCGGTGTCCCAGGCTCCGGGTTCGAGGCCGCCACGCACCGTACCTGCCCCGCCCGTCCCCGCTTCCAGAGCGGTGGTGTCCTCGCCTTCCCCTCTCTCCCCTTCCTCCGCGCGCTGTCCTTCCCGTTGGCTCACCCGGTCCCCGGGGAGAGCCGCCCGGCTCCTGCCCTGCGTCCTCCCGGCCCCGCGCTCGCACCGTCCCGCAGGGGGGTCCCGAGAAGATGTCCTGTGGCCCCCGGAGGTCCAGCTCGCGCGGGCTGTCCTCTGCACCGGGCCCTCCTCGCTTGGCGACCCGTCCTCACCGAGGCTTTCCGGAGAGGGCAGAGCTCAGAAGTGACTTGGATCGCCAATTATTTTGTGAGAATTCAGCTTTGCAGATTTTCCCCGATACGGACGGAGAAGCATAGGAAACGGTAGCGGTTGATGCCCGATGGAAGAAATATCAGATTTTGGCCTTTGCTTCTTCTCTCAACCTTCTAGAATTTAAGCATGCTGTGTTTTGTTAACCACCAACGGAAGCATGATCCTCAGACATCTATCTATTTTAATATAAAATAAACTTCTGTGTTTTTTTTTTAAATTTTGTGTCCCGAGTCTCACAGCTTGAATATTTTGGGTATTTAAACCCGCTCTAGAATAGACCAAGCTGAAGTCGTGGAACGGATTGACTTGTAGGTCGAGAGAAGTAATGGAGATATTTATTGGTGTGTGCCAAGGGGTGTGGTATATACTGAACGAGGGACAGGTTTAGCGGGGACAGACTGAATTTACTCACTGATGAGGATAAGAGGAACACCTTGGAAGGAGAGCGATAGCAGAGGGCACTGCTTGGGCTCTAGAAAGGCGATTCGATGAGAAGACTTTCTGGTGATATCTGACTTCTGGGCTCAGTGGAAAGCAGGGGATATAACAGTTCTGACCGTAGGTTCACTAACCATCCTGGTTTTCCCCGGACTCAGAGACTTCCAAGGATGCAGGACTTTCAGTGCTAACCTTGGCAGACCAGGACACGGTGGTCACCCTACTGGCTGTGGACATAGTGAAGCCATCCTCTGCTGATGACCGAGGAGCCTTTTAGAATGTTCATGCAAGGACTGGGAAACCATATATATCTGTAATGGTCTCTTTCATAGTGAGTTTTTGTCAGCCATCTTCCTTTCTACATTTATTATCATAACTAGAGGCCTGGTGCATGACATTCGTGCACTTGAGGGTGGTGGGGGGGCTTAGCCCGGCCTGTGCCCTTAATCAGTTTAGGAGCCACTGCGCTCACCAGCCATCAGCCAGGCTTGTGGCTGAGTGGCACTGCCCCTGTAAGAGTGCACTGACCACCAGGGGGCAGCTCCTGTATTGAGCATCTGCCCCCTGGTGGTCAGTGCACATCATAGCGACCAGTTGTTCCACTGTTCGGTCAATTTACATATTGCCCTTTTATTATATAGGATACTATAGTTGTTTTTTTTAAATTATTTTGTCATGTGATTCTCTGTTTTCGTTTCTTTTGTGGTCATTTTTAAATAGCTCATCTAATTGTCTTCTTGATTACCTTAAAAGTTTACTATTCATCACAAGACAAAAAAAGCATTGAGTATAATGGGTGAAGTAAAGAGATCTGAAGGAAGTAGAAATGTGACAGCTATAAAATAAACTTTATATGTGCTAAACAGGATAAAGAAAGCCTTGGAAGATACATTATTCAATTAACAGAAGTAGGACAATAGATTTTAGTGGATGGGACATCTAGCAATACCTTGGCTAACTCCTGATTCTTGGCATGAAAGGTGATGTTAGCTCTTTCACTGATGAGGTCATTGAGGTCTGTGTGAGTGAAGTGGTTTACACGAAGTTATAGAGTATTGGAGTCAAAAGAAATGAAAATGAATGAAGAAGGGTAGAATTGGCAACTAGGCAATGATTGACAAGCATATTCTGTGTTTGAACTATGATGAGGAATACAGTCATTAAATCCATTTATTCAGTGTGGAACATAGCACTTTAAAATACCATTGCTAAGCACTTAAAATACCATTGCAAGCTTATAATTAGTATTATTTGTCATCAATTTCCCCAGGTGCTTTAGAAACTTTATTGTTAGAATGATTGTAACACTGAAAATATTCCTTCCCTTTTGAAACATATTCCTTCCCTTTTGAAACATATTTTTGTCTGGGAAGAGAGAATAGCTGTCTTATGTCCAAAAATAACTGTTTAGGACTGAAGAGTGAATACACTGAAGATTTAATAGCTATTTTTTTTATAGCTTTTTCTTCTTCTTTTTTTAGAATATATTTTTATTGATTTCAGAGAGGAAGGGAGAGGGAGAGAGAGATGAAAACATCAATGATGAGAGAGAATCATTGATTGCTTGCCTCCTGCATGCCCCCCACTGAGGATCAAGCCCACAACCCGGGCATGTGCCCTTGATTGGAATCGAACCCAGGACCCTTCAGTCCTCAAGCTGATGCTCTATCCACTGAGCCAAACCAGCTAGGGCTCAATGGCTTTTCCTAAATGATTTTAAAACTAATTACATATCTCTACTTGGTCAATTTTCCTTTTTCCTTTTTAAGACTGAAGAGTGAGCCTGGCCCGTGGGGCTAAGTGGTCGAGCGTCGACCCATGCACCAAGAGGTCACTGGTTCGATTCCTGATCAGGGTACATGCCTGGGTTGCAGGCTCAATCCCCAGTAGGGAGCGTGCAGGAGGCAGCGATTGATATTTCTTTCTCATTGATGTTTCTATCTCTCTATTCCTCTCCCTTTCTTTCTCTCAAATCAATAAAAGCATATTTAAAAAAAAATGAAGAGTGAGAGAGGCAGTGTGGAGAAACAGATAGGGCTGTCATGAAGTCATGAAGCCATGAGGATTTAGGAATCTGGAGTTTTCTTCGCAGCCCTTCCCCTGTGTCAATAAGTGTTGTCAAGGGGCTCTTTTAACTTCTTTGTTATTTTCAATGCTAATATGAAGACATTTACAGTCTAGGAGCCCTAGTATAAAGGATTGTGAAAAATAAACAAATTTAAGGTGCAGTCACTCAAACAGACAGACTTTGTTGCTGGTTGACTTTCTCAGTTTCCAGAGATCACTTGACACCTGGGGTTCTGGTCCCACATAGATTTGGGGCTCACAGGTTTCCCACAAAAATCACGGGTTTTTTTATTCTCACAGGGTCAGTGGGTCAGGACTTCAGTCCATTACTCGAGGCTCTGATGTCCTGTGTGCAGAAGGGGTTAGAGAACGCCTTTCATATTTGGCTGGTGAAAGTACAGGATTGTGTAAATTGTGGTTGAGCCAACAGTAATTGCATTGCTGTAATCGTTCTCTGGCACTTCAAGACTGTAGGAAATTTCAGGCTCAAGAGATTGGGGCAAACAAGTTGATTTCCCAAACTGTACCTGGGAAGGAAATTGTCAGCTCTCCTGAATGTGTCAGCACAGACAGGGAAGAGGAGTATGATGGGTTTTGTCAGTAGAAATGGATAGGGATAAGTGGGGCGTCCTTTATTTAAGTTACCATAATGAAGGAGTGCAGAGGCAAGGGCACACCTGGAGGAAAGGCAGAATTGAAGTTGACTGTGAGTTTGCAGGAACCAGTGAGATGGATCTGGCAAAAAGTTAATGAACCTGGGGATAAAATAAGCGTGCCTAGAGCATGGGTACAGAAACCACTGCAAGGAACTCTGCACCAGTCAGGGGCTCAGATGCCTCCAGGGAGCTGCAGTCCTGGTACCTACCATTTTCCGAGAGCTTTTTGTGTTCCAAGCCTTGGTCTTAGCATCAGTCACAATGGTTTTTGTACCAACCGGACGTGGTACTGTCTGCAGCAAGTGTGAGGCTGGGGAGAGCAGAGTGTGTGTTTGTCTGAAGATTGGAAACCCTGTGCGGCCACCCTGCAACTTTGGGTTTCATAGGGCCGGATCTGCCGCCTTTTCAAGAGAAGCTGGAAACCATATTTTTCTGTGAAATCCTTTACTTTTTGTCAGCTAAAGCCATTTTGTGGAGTGATCATTTTTGGTTAAATTAGAGCTTTCCTTGAGTTGTGGGCACCACATCTTATGGGAGACATTGACAAACTCTGAAACAACCAGAAAAGAGAATGCTCTGTAAGCCCCACCATCTGAGGAGCTCCAGTAGGACTGGGGATGCTTTGCTTGGAGACGAGAGAACTGAGGATGGTGTGACTTCAGATATCAGTTCTAGGGAGGGCTGTCTAGGAGGGCAAGGGTTTGTTGCTTCCCAGAGTAGAACTGTGACCAACCAGTGTAAGCAAGGGGAAAGTGTGTTTCTTAGGACATGTTGCATGAGATGACATGAGCAGCGAAGGTCCTTGAGCCAAAGGATTAGGGAAGTGCTCTCTGTTCTGCCTTTGGACATTGACCATGCGTGCTGGCAGGTGCTTCTCTGGTCTGCAGGGTTCTGTGGGGTCTGCCCCTGGCAGTGGGCCTGACCTGTGCGAGCAGCTTCCCCTCACTCACTGTGCCTCAGACTCCCTGTTTTGGTTATTGTGGTCAAGGCTTGGGAATGGAGACTTTAAGTTAATGCCTAAAGCATGTATGCTTTACTCATATGCCAAGTGCTTGTTGAGTGCTCCTGTGTTTCCTCTGCTTGCATTGCTTTGTCCCAGATACTGTGGAACCTCATGCTGTTGAGCATTCTTAAAACCATTACTTTATACTCTGTTTCTGATGAATTGTTTGCCTCCATTTCATTTAGCTCTTTTTCAAGGGATTCCTTCTGTCATTTCAGGCCTGTTTCTTTGTTTCCCCATTTTTGCTTTTTCTTTGGATTTGTTTATATGCATTGTATAGCGATGGCCCCCAATCTTGGTGGTTTGGTTCTCTGTCCTGGGTGTCTTGTGGGATGCAGAGGTGTAATCTCCTTGGTCTTCTGAGCTCTAGAAATGTCCCTTGCGCAGGTTATGTGGGCCCTCCTGTTGTAATTAGGTATTAATTGTTGTTGTCCTGTTCATGTGTGCTCAGCCCTTGGTCTGGTTGACTGTGAGGCTTAACCTTGACACATCATGCCAACTGTTATACAGGTGCTGACAGAACAAAATAACACAAAACAAGACTAACCCAAAAACAACATGAGAAAATAACAAACCACCACCACCAAAAACAATACAAAAGAATAAGAAAACAAACAACAAACAAACAGAACAAAAATAATACTAAATGACAAGAGACCAAAAGAATTAGAGAAGGAAAAAACCCACGAAAAATAGAATATCAAAGAAAGGAAGACAAGAAAAGAAAAAAAAAGAATAAAAAAGTAAAGAAAAAAAAGAAATGAACTAGTAATAAATTTAAAAAAGTAATAATAATGAATAAAATAGAATATAAAGTAGGAAAAGAAAAATGGGAAACAAAATAAAAAAAAAGAAAACAGAAAGGGAAAATAGAATAAGAGAAGGACAGAGAGAAATAAGGGATGTGAACGACAATAGAGAAGAAAAATTAAAATATGAAATAAGAAAAGAAAGGAAATTAAAAATAACACACATATACAAACATAGACACCACCCACAAAAATGGAGTTCCTCTTTGCAGATTTTAATGCCTACTGTGTTTGCCCTTTGGATCTGCTATTTTTGGAGGTCACTGGATTTTGCTGTAGTGTTGCCTGAAGCTGGGCACTTGTTATGCCAGGCTGGGGCCTCCTAGGAGGTCCTCTGGTGCAAGCTATTGTCAGTTGCTGTCCCTGCCTGGCCTTTGGTAACCTGAAGCTTAGCAGGTCAAAGCCCCAAGCCTTCTGGCAGGTGGGGCTTCTGGAGCCCAAGGGCTGGGTCTACCTGAGGTCACGCCCCTTGACTGTCCCTGCTCTGAGTTTCTCTCCCTTCTCCCACAGAACTGCACTCTGCGGAGGCAGTTTAATCAGGCTCAGGTTGGGGATAGTACCCTTAACCTATAGACGGGTGGTGGGTGTTTCCTCTCCTTTCCAGGGCTGAGCTGGCTGAACTCCCTGGGGAGATTGGATGTACCTGCTTCCCCACAATGCAGCCATAGCCGCACACGTCCATCTATCTCCAGATAGAAGCCCATCTGAAAGACACAGTCACAATACCTCAGCTCTGGCTCCCTGGCACCCCCTTGCTGCCACACCAAGTAGTAGGAGATAAGAAAAAAATCAGCTCTGCTTGGCACTTCATTCTCTTGCATGGCCAGCCTGGCGCTGGGCAGAGTCTCTAGCCAGGCTCCAACTGGGCCAAATATCCAAGACCTCTGCACTATCATACTGAACAGTACGGGCTCAGATTTCCAGCCCAGCACTGCTCCCCTTTGCCTTGGATCACAGGATGGGCAGACTGAAGAGCTCTGCACATGGTGGGTTGAGTGTCACCATGCTTTCTCATTGGGCAAGACCAATCCTCTTTCCTAAGCCACAGAGACTAGCCCCTGTCTGGCTCTCTGCCCAAAGTTCTTCCAGAGAATAGAGGGCCCCCTCAGTGTCACTTTTGGGTGCACCAATCAGATCCCCCTGCTGGCCCCAAGCTCTGCTGCCTGGCTCTAGTAGTCCTCGATTGGAGTGAACATTTCAGGCTGGTGTGTAACAAAGAAATCATTATTTGCCTGGTATGGTGTGGTCTGGGTCTCCTAGATGTACTGAATCCCCACTGATTTCCACTTTCAACACTACACAGGCTCCCCCTCTCTTCTCTTGTCACTCTGGCTGAGACCCCACACTTCCAGGGGATAAGGCTACACTGCTGCAATATCCCTTTTGCTTCCCAGCTGTGTACCTGTGCAGGTTGGCTCACCCTCTCCTCATCTCCTTCTACCTTTTCTCTGAGTTCCCTGCTCTCAGTATTTCAGATCAGCTATACGTCATCTGCTTTTTCTGGATGAACACTCTGCAATTTAGCTACAAGTCTGGTCCGGTGTTGGGAGCAAGCGGATGAAGCTTCCAGCTACTCTGCAGCCATCTTCCAGAACTTTTCAATAGAGGCTAGCTGATGGTTAGCCAGTGGGTGTTGATAGACTTCTCTCACTGGGGAGGAAGTTAGATAAGGTTGGTGGTGACCAGTTAGTTGCACCATTAAGAGGGTATTACCTAGATCTCTGGCAAGGATGGGCCATGTGGGACACAGGTCATTGTCCCAGACCTCTGGTTGCCTTTCTAATTATAAGCACTGTTACTTTCAGTCCTGGCTTGACTTTTTTATTTTATTTTTGGAGATAGTGAGCCTTTTACCTTTGTGTGAAGAAGGGGCAACCAAATATTTAAGCAGGGTGTCACAGGCTTTAAATCAGATTACTACTAAATTTAGATGAAAAAGATGTAAACTACAGTGTGTTAAAGGACAGTTAACTACAGGAGTCTAAGACAAATAGCAGGATTCTGTTTTATGTAGAATCATATTAGCCGAGGAAAAGGTAAAGTTAGCCCTATGGTGACATTGAACAGTTCCCCCAAGGGACTGTTCCTCTGCTAGGATGGGGATGGGGAAGGGTGATTACATCAGCCTCCTTTACGACAGGGACCCTACCAGAATGCCATGTGGTCAGCACTCACCTCTGACAGGCACCTATCTTTACCATTTGTCTCTTTTTTGGGAGTCTGCTTTTTTTAGAAAAAAATATTTTTATTGATTTCAAAGAAACATCAACGATGAGAGAGAATCATTGATTGGCTGCCTTCTGGGGAACCAGCCCGCAACCTGGCCTTGACCAAGAATCAAACTGTGACTTCCTGGTTCATAGATCGATGCTCAACCATTGGCCAGGCAGGGATTCTGCTTTTGAAAGAACCACACAAAGTCTTTGCTGTCATTTTTACTTATAAGTAGTTATTTCCATTGTGTTGAAAGACTTTAGGCCACTTAAAGAAAATCACTTGCACCCTGGCTGGGTGACTCAGTTGGTTGGAGCATTTTCCATACACTAAAAGGTTGTGGATTCAATTCCTGGTCGGGACACATACTCAGAGTGCAAGTTTGATCATTGGTCAAGATGTGTACAGGAGTCAACCGATCGATGTTTTCCTCTCACATTTCTCTCTCTCTCTCTCTCTCTCTCACTCTCTCTCTCTCTCTCTCTCCCTCCCTCTCTCCTTTCTTTCCTCCCTCCCTTCCTCTCTATCTCTCAAATAAATAACATATCCTTGGGTGAAAACTAAAAAAAAAAAAGGAGAAAATCACTTGAGTTACAGATTGTCCCAGCTTCTGTAGTGGCAGTTTGCATAGTTGAGTCATTGACTTTTAAAAATATATATTTTTTTATTGATTTCAGAGAGGAAGGGAGGGGAGAGAAAGAGATGGAAACATTAATGACGAGAGAGAATCATTGGTAAAGCTCACAATCAGGGCATGTACCCTGACCAGGAATCGAACCAAGACCTCTTGGTTCATGGGTTGACGCTCAACCACTGAGCCACACTGGCTAGGCTGTTGTTTTTTTTAAACCTCTCTGAGATATAATCACATACCATAAAATCTACCCATTTAAATTGTTTAACGGTTTTTAGTACATTCACAGAGTTTTGTAATAATCATTGCAATCTAAGTTTAGAACATTTTCATCACTGTTAACTTTTTAAAAAAATTGAGGTGAAATTTACGTAATGTAAAGTTACCCTCAGAGTGTACAGTTCAGTGATGTTTAGTGTTGGACAATCACCAGCTCTCTAGTTTCAAAACCTTTCCATCACCCCATAAGAACATCTTACACCCCATTTCCCCTTCCCACCAGAATGTCCATCAGCAGGTGGAATATTGTTGAGTCATAAGAAGGAATGAAGTTCTGATATATACTGCAGCTTGGGTGGACATTGTAGCGTTCTGAGAGAAAGAAACCAGTCATGGAAGGTCGAATATTGTATGACCCCATTTGATCCCATCATATGAAATGTTCAGAATAGGCAGATCGCCACTAACTTTTGCAGAGCGTGTTTCAGACCTTGACTCTGAGGGCTGTAGGTCCGGGTATCCTCTCCCTGCCTTCCTGTCCTTGACAGGCTGCATTGCTAATGGCTTAGAATCAGACCTGGCACTGCATGTTCTTCCAGTTCTGACAGTGGTCTGCGGGCAAGCTCCTCGTGCTTCTCTGTCCACTTCTCTTGTTTGTAAAGTGGAGAGAGACACAATCCCCCTAGTTACCCAGGTAAAGCACATTGCATGGCACGTCCTTATTGTCATGTATCGTTACTTTTGTCGTGGTCCTTACTCCTTTCCTGCCGAGGACTCTCAGGTTGCATTAGCCTGCGGTTGTGTGGGTTCATAGCTGATCTGTGCCAGACATGCATGTTCACACACTGTAATCTTGTACCCTTGATTGGCATCAGTCACCTTAGAAGAAGGTTGTGTGGCCCTGGGGTTTGGAGACAGGCTGGGAGAGAGGGGTTGCTTTTTGTCCTTCCTGGCTACCTGTCCTCTTCCAGGAGTCTGGGTTCTTTCAGCCTCTTCCTACGGGGTCGGTAGGACTGGACCACCTCCTTTCCCAGTTAGCAAAAGGGGTAAGGGCCAACAACATGGCATCTTACCTGGCCAGGGGCAGTTCTGAATCCTGTATGACTGAAGAGAAGGAAGTTAGGAGCAAAATTTGTTTTTCCTTTTATTAGACGGAAAATGGCAAAGGGGAAATGTCAAAAGGAAAAAAGAACTGGTTAGCACTGTCCCCTAAGCTGTTCTGCTCTGGGGGAGAAAGTAGGAAGAAGAAACAGGCTGCACCTTCAAGTTTGCTTGGAAATGTTCTCAGCTGAATGTCCTGGTTCATCATTTACAAGTTCTGCTTTTCACATCCCTGCAGGAAACAATCCAACCAAGCGCCTGCCACCATTAACAAGGACCTGCTTCCCTCCAGTTTCCAACTTATTTCTGACATCCTTTGGAGCCATCACCAGCAGTGCCTCCAATGTCCGTATTTCTGCCCACAGTCTATTATTGACAATTGAGGTGTTCTCTCCTGTGATGTCTGTTTCTCTACCATGCTCCTCACTCACTTCTTTCTGAGCACTTGCTAGCCGGGTCTTTGGCATCCATGTTTCTACTAACAGTGTCTTTAAGAAAATCTAGACTTTTTCCATGCTGCTTCTCAGAATTCTTCTATTTTCTACCCATAGCCCAATTCCAAAGCTACTTCCCTATTTTAGGTATTTGTTATAGCAGCGTCTCATTTCCAGATAATAAAGTTAGTTTAATGAGAAAAATGTATTAGTTTTCTATGGCTCTGGTGACAAATGACCACATACTTAGTAACTTAAACAACACATTGGTTATCTTATAGTTCTGGAGGTCACAAGTCCTGGGCAGGCCACCTGGCTGAAATCCAAGTGCTGCAGGGCCGTTCTCCTTTGTGGAGGCTCTAGGGCAGCGGTTCTCAACCTGTGGGTTGCGACCCCTTTGGCGGTCGAACGACCCTTTCACAGGGGTCGCCTAAGACCATCCTGCATATCAGATATTTACATTACGATTCATAACAGTAGCAACATTACAGTTATGAAGTAGCAACAAAAATAATTTTATGGTTGGGTCACAACATGAGGAACTGTATTTAAAGGGCCAGAAGGTTGAGAACCACTGCATTAGGGGGTAACCTGTTTCCTGCCCACTCAGATTGTTGGCAGAATTCAAACACTTTACAGTCCTGTTGTTCCAAATGTCTGTAAGGTGACATAAAAGCCTTTCCTTCACTCCTTTTTCTTTTATTCCCTTTGCTTTTTATTTTCACCTACCCCTATAGAAACAGAATGGCTTATTTTATTTTCTGCATTTAATAAAATCATGCATGTTCAGAACTGGGCAAGACTTTGAGGTTCCCCGCCCCAATACCCCATTACACAGAGGGGAGCCTATGGGCTTTGGGTGAAGAAACCCATGTATAATGGCTTGGCTGGTTGTTGGGGAGTTGGGACTGGCATCCAGGCACCCACATTTCTACAGGTTTATGAAGCAGAAGATTATCCTGTCAAAATCAAGCAAAACACTCCCCTTAAATCATTTGTTAGGTGTGAGTCTTGATTTTTTTTCGTTAACTCACTTTTTTTTTTTTAATAGAAAAAGATTCTCCATCTTAGGAGCTCATGATTTTATTTGCTTTAAGTTAATCTTAACATCAAGTGTTCAGTAAATTTGGATGCACTTAAGCAAGTAATGATTTTGTAAAGTTTATTTAGTAGCAAGAGGCTAAATGTGCTCACTTTTTTACCAAATGAATAATGATGTATGTGAGGATCGTTTGAGAGAAATTTTAATCACTGTTGGTCATTTGTCCAAAAACGTAATGCAAGATTCCCAAGGCAACTTTCAGCTCTTCCCAGGACTTTAGGAGTGCGTCCTTGGACTTGCAATTTTATAGATTCTTTGTAAACAACTGTCAGTATCTGTCAGACTCTTTAGGGTGGAAGAGCTGGGATTACCTTTTCAGTTCTTAAAAACGTGATCAGCAAATGACTGGGGAATTGGTGCTCAGGAAATTGTTTTCCTTCTTCTCCTTCATGAATTTGTTTCTGTTTCTTTTATTCACAGAACATGAGAATCTTAGGGACACCGTACCTAGTGTTGCTGCTTTGAATCCATGCACCAGGAAGTAGTGGCTTTTGGGAAACACTTGTCTTCTCTGTAGATGAGTGTGTGTCTCCCTTCCTTTATTGCAACTCTTTATTCCCATTACTTTTTGTGTTCATCAATGCTGCGTGTTTTCCTTCTTTACAACTCCTAGAGGATTCAAGATACAGCCTATCTTACTATCTGGAAAATAACTGATAAGAGTGCCTCACACATGGGGGGGGGCGGTGGTAGAAACAGCAAAAGCACGTTTGCCAATCCTGGTAAACAGCACTGAAGTTTCATCACATGCCACAGAAGTCAAGGGCCTCGTGGTGGGGACACTGGGTGAGAGGCTCGCCCCTGCTGAAAGGACTTTAAAACCAGCCGAGCTGATTGCCTTTGTATATATTTCATTTCTGGCAGCTCCTTTAGCGGCAGAGTTTTCCGAGTGACCTTTTTGATGCTGGCTGTTTCCTTCACCGTTCCCCTGCTCGGAGCCATGATGCTGCTGGATTCCCCCATAGATCCACAGCCTCTCAGGTGAGCTGCCCCAGCAATTTTTGGGAGGGATTGCTCAGCAAAATATAATAGGCTGGGATGATTCCTAGAGTAACTAAACCAGTCTGACCCGAAAGGTAAGTTATTACGAGAAATAGAAATTTGTGATGTTCTTTGGCCTCCATTTTATGTTGAATTATGTTTCACAGAATATATGCATGGCATTGTCCATGTTATTGTTTCAAAAATAAAACTGTACAAACCAAAAACAAAAATCAGAAAAACCCCAAATGAGAGAAGCTTAAGTCTTAGACACAGTTAGTCTGAATTCATATGAAGTGGCAAAGACACACACAAACAAAGGTTAAATTTAAGTTACCTTGTGTAAGTTTTATAAATAACTTACTTAAAAAAACAACTTGTAATTAGTCACCTCTTTTTCCTAAGTTCCCTTTCATCTTTGGGGATCTGTGAATAATGCAGTCCATTATAACTTGAAAAAATAGTATACACCTGGGAGTCCCATGAAATGTATCCACATTTTTAATTATAGTAACACTGAGCCAGGCTCCTATTGATGTGATTGATGATGTTGATGTCAAGGTGGTGTAAGAGGGTTGTGCAGTCTGGTTCAATAAGTTTCTTTTTTTCCCTTGCAACTGCCCAGAGGGTAGAGCTTTCTGGAGTTTATTTTAACTGAGCTAGGCCATGTAAGATTTTAAAAACTTCAGAAAGAACCACATCTTACTATAGAGTAAATATAACATCTATAACTATAATGTGTTGGTGTTTTGTAAATAAAACTTAAGGTTTTATTTTGAATTCAGTTCACTAAAAACATATTCAGCACTAGTATGCTAGAGGCGGGTATCAGACACAAAGAGGACACAGTTTTGACCTTAGATTGATATATGTGTAGAAGAGGCAACTTTTTGTTGTTGGATTTAGAATTGGTAAAGGTACATGGTGTTGTGAAAACACAATTAGCTTGCGTAAGATTGAGAAAGGGGGGAGGCTGGGCACTGTAGACCCATAAGTATGTTTGCTCTGTAATTCCTGGTGTGCCAGTGTTTCCTTGCACATGCCTTTCCTCCCAAGGGCATGCTGGGAGTTCTCTCTGAGGGGGTTCTAGGACACTTTGAGGGGAGGGGCCTCTTTCTTGCTAACCCCTCTCAACATGTGGAAGGATATGGCTCAGCCCATCCCAAATAGAAACTGACCTGACTTTATTTGATTGGCAAGGTGAGGAAATGAATTGTGTCCACAGTGGGCATCAAAGTCTGGGCTGGGGAGCTAGTCTTGGGAAAGAGGAGGAAAGTGGAGAGAGTAGGTAAAGATGGAGTTTCTGAGTTGGAGTGGGAGGGATGGAGCTTAAGTGACTGAAGACCTTTAATCTCAATAAAGGTGAATTTATGTGTGGAAAGAGTGGTGAAGAAATTCAGAGGACTGGTGTGTATTCATGCCCAGAAACTGAAAGGAAACGTGGCCCAATAAGGATTTGAAGTTGTGCAAGTGAGTCCTGCCTGCCGAGTAGATGGGCCTGATGAGGAAGGAGGAGAAACTAATGCCATCGGTGTGGCGGACAGGGACTCTCCCACAGACTCAGATTTGGGAATGACTTACTCAAAAATTGGAAGCATGGGCCCCAAAGTGCAGAACAAAAGCAGAGGAGTGGCAGAGATTGTAAGAACAGAAATAAACTGAGGTTTGGGGAAAATGCTAATGACAACAGCAAAAAAGCCTTTTTTAAACTCTCTTCAGGGCAAAAAGAGCCAGGAAGGGAGAGACCCACTGTCTGAGTGAGGACAGTCATCTCCCAGCCACGGGGGCGCCATGGTCAATGGGATCAGGCCAACTGGCAGGTGGGAGGCCAGCAATAGCAGCGCCTTGGGGAGTCTGCTTTTTGTTATCAGATGAAGTGGGTGGGGGGTCCTCTTCCCCACTGGTGCTGCTGGAGGTGGAGTCCTTATGATACCACAAGAAAAAGAATTTTCTGAGACTCACACAGGAGAACAAGTGATTTTTATTTGTGTAGAGTTAAATTCCTGGGTTTCCAAAGTTTCATTTCCCTTAGTCCAGTCATAGGAGATGTGTAGCCGGGGTTTCAGTAAAGCTAGAAACAAAGCCAGTGTCCAGAGTTTCCATTCCATGTTGCAGCTGGGTCCAGTAGAGCATTGGGCTGGCTGCAGTCCACTGGTCCATGATGTGGGGGTCCTCATGGTGTGGGCCACATGGGAGAATGCAGGAGAGTCCCAAAGATCCTAAAAGCACAAGAGAGCAAATTCCGTGGTTCGGGGGTTAAATATCCCAAATCTTCGATCCCTTGCAGCGGTCACTCCCAGACTGGCCTACCACCTCTGTCTCCAGATGTGATTGACAGCAAGCACCTTCCCTATGTCACCCCAACTTTATTGGGCACAGGTCTAACTTCCTTGTCCAGTCCCCTGGAGGAGTGTTAAGTTGTAGTTTCCTGGTGAAGCTGTCCAAATGACATGCCTATAAGGGCTGGCTTCCCCCTTTGCTCCTTTCCTGTTATTAATAACTAGGTCAATTCCAACGGTATCACGTTAGGGTGCCAAATGACCTCTGTGTGAGCTTAGACAACAGTTAGAAATCTCTGAGAAATCTGAGGACAGACCAGGGACAAGAAGGGTGGAACCCTTCCAGGGCAGGTTGTTAGGCAGTTGGTTTCAGTTCTAGGGAGTCAAGTGGCCTGAAAGGCTGCAGGGCTTTGGCAAACACCCACCATGCAAAACCACTTTCTTTTCCTTTTTGGAAGATTGGAGGCCTATTACAAACACAACAATGTGACATCCTGATTTCTGGAGGATGTTGACCAGTGTCTTTCAGCATACATTTGACACATGGAGTTAGCAGGAGTTAGTGGGAATTAATATGAGTTAACAGGAGTTAATGAGTTAACAGAAGCTCAGTGGCTCTGATCAGAGTCCTTGTAGCCTGGCTGGCTGTGAGTGTTGATTTGGGCTTTCTAGGGCCGCTCTTCCTTGGTACTTCTGTTGCCCGGCTGCAGGAGTGGGGACCCTCTCTTGCCTATCGTTTGCATTTCCTCACATAAGTGTTCTTCTTGTCTCCTTATTGAGATAATACTCAGGCTCATTGTGGGCAGGGTCAGTGTGTGATTTACTGATCAGTTTGATTCTGCAAATCTTTCCTGAGGACTTCCTGTGTATAGAGAATTAGGCATGGTCCAAGGACTGGGTGAGAGGGGCTGATGTCAGGTGTACCCTCCTCTATCCCTGGGCTTTATGTGTGTGTATCTGTATTGTTCAGTCTTCACATATACCGTTGGGAAGTATGACCTTCAAGGTCAGAATTTGAAAGCAGATGTGCCCAATTCTATAGCCCAGGCTTTTTTTCACCAGATATGCAGGTTGCAATCCTATTCTTCCTTTGGAACTAAAACTAGTAAAGTCAAGAATGTTTTTTTTAAGCAGGTTGAAAGTCACATTGGGGGGCGGTGGGGCAATTTAATTTGGGGAAGTTGTGCTGTGGCCTGCAGAGGTGCCTCAGAAGGGGTGGCAAAGGTGAAGTACTTTGCCAGCAAGGTAGAGAGCTTGTCCATCATTCCACATCCTCAGCTACCACTTCCCCCTTGGTTCTCCCACTCTGGTGGGCTGGCTAGGAAACTGCCTTGGTGGAGGGCAGGGTGGGGAGGGAATTGGGAGATAACCACCCCTTCCCACACTCCCCACCCTCACTCCTGTAGTGTTCATTGGGAGCCTCCTGTGTGCCAGGTGCTTGGGATACAGCGTGAAAAACACAGAACAAACCCCTGATCTCATGTGCTCGGGTGGGGATAGACAGACAATAAACAACAGAAGTGAGAAGCTGAAAAGGGCTAGAGGGGGGGAGCTGTGCTTTTGGGGGAGGTGTTGAATATTAAATTGGATGGTCAGAGCAGGCCTCACTGAGAAGATGAGGGTGGAAGGAACAGCCAGTGCGAAGGACTTAGGATGGAAGATGCCTGGTACAGTCCAGAACCAGCAGGGAATGGCTGGTGTGGAGGGGCAGAGTGAACTACTGGGAGAGGAGGAGAGAGAGGTGACAGGCTAGACCAGTGATGGCGAACCTTTTGAGCTCGGCATGTCAGCATTTTGAAAAACTCTAACTTAACTCTGGTGCCATATCACATATAGAAATTTTTTGATATTTACAACCATACTAAAACAAAGATTTATATTTTTGATATTTATTTTATATATTTAAATGCCATTTAACTAAGAAAAAATCAACCAAAAATATGAGTTCGCATGTCACCTCTGACACGCGTGTCATAGGTTCGCCATCACTGGACTAGATGATGTAGAGCTAAGAGCCACAGCAAGGACTTAGGGTCCAGGTGAGATGGGGCCGTCTCAGGGCTTTAAACAGATAAATGCTATGATCTGACTATTGTGCTCACATGAGCTGCAGGGTTGAGAATAGACTGTAGGGGACAGGGAGGAAGCAGGGAAGAGAAGATGGTGGCCTGTACCAGGGTGGAAGCAATGGACATGGGTGAAGGTGTTCAATGATGTCTGTCTTTTGGAGGTGGCATCAGCATGATTTGCTGGTGGATTGGGAGGAAGCGTATTTGCATGTGGGTTGGAAGGATCTGGGAAGAGGGCAGAGTTCCTGAAGCCCAGTCTGAGTGAAGGGAGGGAGGCAGGGCCCAGGGGAGGCTGTCTTCAGAGAAGTCAGGTGGGTCCTTAGAGGGGCTTATATTGGACGATGGGGAGGCGGAGCCAGTTTCTGGACCGCTTCTCTCTGTCTTCTCCATGAAGCAAGGTCATAAATTGTGAGAGGTCGACAGGGCTCCCTCCATCTCCATTGGACTTTAGTGGGAGGGCAACCACTGGGAGTGTAAATGCCAGGGTGTGTGAATCAGAGGGTGTGAGAAGGTCTAACCTGCTGTGAGGCATTGGATCAGTGATGAGAAGTTCAGGTGAGTGGAGGCCCTGGGTGCTCTTAATGGCAGGTGATTGCAAAAGTTCTTGCATTAGCTGTATTTATATTTTCATTTTTATTTAATACTATGACCGTTTCTAATATCCTAGGTCAGTTTTTTTTCTTAACCTTTGTGTTTCTGGCAAATAAGGATATTATTGGAATGAACCCTCTTTATCAAATGGAATTATGCATGTCGTAGGTCCTCAGTAAATACTTTCTAAATGTATTTTCTGTAGACAGATCCCTATAATTGCACTATTTTGCAGCTTCAAAGAACCCCCTCTCTTGCATGGTGTTCTGCAACCAAATACGAAGTTACGACAGGCGGAAAGACTATTTGAAAATCAACTTGTTGGGCCAGAGTCCATAACAAATATTGGGGGTAAGTAAACCCCTGGAACTGTGGAGTCTGACTGGGTGCCTTCGAGGCTGTCTGTTGCTTAAATGGGGGCTTTGTAGGAGCAGCCGCCCTGGAGGAGCTTTCGACATGGTTAGCTGTGGATGTGGGATGTGCATGTGCAGAGAGAATCTTGGCTCTCAGAGTTGTGGGCCATTTTAGTCCTGGGTGATTTGAGTTCATGTCTATGGAATACTTTATTCTACTCAAAGTATATGACCCATTAACATGGAAGGAAAAATGAAAAATGCAGACATTGATGTTTAGTTCATTTATCAAAGTTGGTAGGTGTTTCTTGACAGGACATTGTTTCTTAGCTCGGTTTCTCTTTGTATCAGTTTCATTTTTGAAAAGAATATGGACAATTCTCAATATTTCCACCAAACCTAAGAACTAGAATAGGCTCTAGTTCTAATACTTGAGTATTAAGCTTTGGAATCAGTCAGTGAAAGATAAATACCTCATGATCTCACTCATTTGTGGAATATAAAGAACATTATAAACTGATGAACAAAAATAGATACAGAGGCAAAGAAGCATCGAACAGACTGTCAAACTACAGTAGGAAGGCAGGAGAGGGTTGGGGGGAGGAGTAAGAGATCAACCAAAGGACTTGTATGCATTCGTATAAGCATAACCAATGGATACAAGACACTGGGGGAGGGGTGGTGGTGGTGAAGGCATGTGCCAGGGTGTAAGGGAGGCCAGAGGGAGGTCAATGGAGAAAAAAAGGAGACATATGTATTACTATTTGTAATACTTTAAACAATAAAATAAAATTCAAAAAAATAAAGGGAAAGGTGCTATACTTAAAATGGTGTGAGGATTTCTGAGCAGCTGAACTAAGCACTCTGCTCCTCATTCCAAAGTCCAATATGTTTTTTGAGGAGTAGTGGTGGACATTGCATTCGGGGTGCTCCTCTGGTTTGTTTTGAAGGCAGGTCAGAGCCGCTTCTCACATGACATTGACCGCTTGTCTTTCCCAGACCTGCTGTTTGATGCAGGAGCCCAAGACTGGTGCATTTTTTTTTTCTCAGTATATTTTCATTGATTTCAGAGAGGAAGGGAGGAGGAGAGAGAGAGAGAGAGAGAGAGAAACATCAATGATGAGTGAAAATCATTGATTGGCTGCCTCCTGCACACCCCACACTGGGAATCGAGCCTGCAACCTGGGCATGTGCCCTGACTGGGAATTGCACCATGACACTCAACCACTGAGCCATGCTGGCCAGGCAAGACTGGTGTCTTTTTGCAATTGTTTGTTTGACTTGCAAAGTCAAAATTGTTTCAAGAGTGATAGGTACTTCATGATAGAACTTTATATTTCCTCTAAAAAGACATTGTTGTTTATTATTAATACATTTTACAAGTTTTGTGGGTTTTTTGGGGGTAGAAAAAAATCAAATATTAGAAATCAAATCTGGAACTGGGAGGAGTTAAAGTGATTTTTTTAAAAACTTTCAAAGAGAATGCTTTTCTTGCTTTTCCCCTTTTCACATGGGCTAACATCTCATTGTATTCTGTCACCAGATAAAGGAGCTGGTTATCTTCTTGGTGACATTTCTGGTTAGGTACAGAGGGGCCTATCTAGTTAGCCTCCTGCAGGTGTGAACCCCAGGGAGGTCCCCAGGGACTCGTTGCTGTTGCCTCACTTGGAAGTTATCCTGAGGGATGGCTGGCGTGTTGCTGACATTGGAGGGAGGCATCAGCCCCAGGAGGTACTTGAGTAATCAATCACCAATTAATGTGTTTTAATTTTAAAACAATATTTATTTTTTTAGAGCAGTTTTAGGCTCACAGTAAAATGAAGAGGAAGTACAGAAATATTCCATATACTCCCTCCCCGCACATATGCACAGCTTCCCCCATTATTAGCATTTCATACCAGATGGTATATTTATTACAGTTAACACATTATCACCCAAAGTTCATAGTTTACATTGGGGTTCACTCTTGGTGTTGAATATTCTGTGGGTTTGGACAAATGTATAATGACATGCATTCATTATTTTAATATCATACAGAGCAGTTTCACTGTCCTAAGAAATCCTCTGTGCTCTGCCTATTTATCCCTCCCTCCCCTCGACGTGTCCTGGCAACCACTGATCTTTTTACTGCTGTTATAGTTTTTGTCTTCCAGAATTTTATATAGTTGGGATCATACAGCATGCAGCTTTTCAGATTGGCCTCTTTCACTTAGTCATATGCATTTAAGGTTCCTCTATGTCTTTTCATGCCTTCATAGCTCTTTCCTTTTTATTCCTGAATAATATTCCATTTCCTAGACATATTACAGTTTATTTATCTGTTCACTGACTGAAGGACATCTTGGTTGCTTCCAAGTTTTGGCAATCCTATATAATAAAAGCCTAATATGCTAAGTGTCTGGTTGCCTGTTCAACCAATCAAAGCATAATATGCTAGTGATATGCTAAGGCCGCTCAACTGCTCACTATGATGTGCACTGACCACCAGGGGGCAGATGCTCCAACTGGTAGGTTAGCTTGCTGCTGGGGTCCGGCTGATCAGGACTGAGCAAGACAGGCCAGACACGCCCGGGAGCCCTCCTGCGGTTCCTCCCTGGCTAGCCAACCTCCCATGTCTCTCCCCGCCCCGATCGTGCATGGGTGGGGTCCCTTGGCCTGGCCTGTGCCCTCTCACAATCCGGGACCCCTTGGGGGATGTCGGAGAGCCAGGCCCAGGAAACCCACTGGTGCATGAATTTCTGCACCGGGCCTCTAGTCTATATAATAAAGAGCCAGGGTCATAACAACCGAAGGCTCGACCAGACTGGAAGTCAGTGCTGGGTTGCCATGGCCGCTGCAGGCACCCAGACCCAGCACTGACTGCCTAGGGGGCTGCAGATCAGGCCCGGAGAGAGGCCTGCGGAGAGAGAGGCAGGGTCTGATCCGTAGCCTCTGTGGCAGCCGTTGATCTTGGCTGGCAGAAGAGGGCAGTTGGGGGCAAGATCAGATTGGCAGGGGAGGGCAGCTAGGGGCCATCAGGCAGGCAGAGGCAGTCAGGGGCGATTAGGCCAGCAGGGGAGAGCAGTTAGGGGCGAGATCAGGCCAGCAAGGGAGGGCCATTGGGGGTGAGATCAGGCCAGCAGGGGAGGACAGTTGGGGGCAACCAGGTTGGCAGGGGAGGGCAGTTGGGGGCGAGATCAGGACGGCAGGGGAGGGCAGTTAGTGGTGATCAGGCAGGCAGAGGCAGTTGGGAGTGAGATCAGGATGGCAGGGGAGAGCAGTTGGGAGCCATCAGGCAGGCAGGCAGGCAGGCAGAGAGGTTAGGGGTGATCAGGCAGGCAGAGAGGTTAGGGGCAATCAGGCAGGCAGGCAGGCGAGTGGTTAGGAGCCAGCAGTCCCAGATTGTGACAGGGGTGTCTGACCGCTGGTGTCGGACATCCCCCGAGGGTACCCGATTGGAGTGGGTGCAGGCTGGGCTGAGGGAACCTCCCCCTCCATGCATGAATTTGGTGCACCGGGCCTTTAGTTATTAATAAAGCTGTTATAAATATCTGCATGTAGATGTTTGTGTGGACATATTTTCAACTTATTTGGGTAAATGCCAAAGATCACAGTTGCTGGATCTTGTGGTAGGAATATATTTCATTTTGTAAGAAACCACCAAACTGTCTTCCAAAGTGGCTGTCTTGAAGTCAAGTAGTGACAGTCCTTTGATGTTCTTCAGTATAGTGTTGGCTATTCTGGATCTTTTGCTTTTCTATATTTAAACTTTATTATCAGTTTGCAGATAAGTATATTAAAAGAACTTGCTGGGATTTCTATTGGAATTATTTTGAATATATAAATCAAGTTAGGAAGAACTGACATGTTGAGAATATTGAATCTTCATATCCATAAACATGGAATATCTCTCCATTTATGTATTTTTTTTGGTCTTTCATTAGAGTTTTATAGTTTTTCTCATATAGATCTTCTATATATTTTATTATATTTAGACCTCTATATTTCCTTCTTTTGGATGCTAATGTAAATGGTATCCTGTTTTTAATTTCAAATTTTACTTATTCACTGCTGGTATATATAAGGAAGTGATTGACTTGTATATTATCCTTATATCCTACAACTGTGCTATAATTGCGTATTAGTTCTAGGAGGTTTTGTTGTTGATTCTTTTGGATTTTCTACATAGAGAATTTTGTTATCTGTGAACAAAGACAATTTTATTTTTCCCTTCCCAATTAGTATTGATTTTCTTTTATTTTTTCTTGTCTTATTGAATGAGCTAAGACTTCTAATACAATATTGTAAATGAAGGTGAGAGGGGACATCCTTGTTTTATTCCTTATCTCAGTGGGAAAGCTTCTAGTTTGACACAATTAAGGATATTCCCTGTAGTTGTTGTTTTTTTAAATAGATGCTCTTTATCAAGTTAACGAAATTCCCCTCTCTTCCTAATTTGCTGAAAGTTTTATCATGAATAGCGGTTGGATTTTGTCAGATGATTTTTCTGCATCTACTGATAAGTGATTTTTCTTTAGCCTGTTAATGTTGGGGATTACTTAATTGATTTTCAAATGCTGAACTAGGCTCAAACACCCTGGATAAGTCCCAGTTGTTCGGTTGTATAATTCTTTTCTTATTTTTTTATTTTTATTGATTTCAGAGAGGAAGGGAGAGGGAGAAAGAGATAGAAATATCAATGATGAGAGAGTCATTGATGACTGCTTCCTGCACGCCCCCCACTGGGGATCGAGCCCGCAACCCAGGCATGTGCCCTTGACTGGAATCGAACCTGGGACTCTACAGTCAGCAGGCTGACGCTCTATCCACTGAGCCAAACCAGCTAGGGCTGGGTGAATAATTCTTTTTACACATTGTTGGATTAGATTTGCTAATATTTTGTTGAGGATTTTTGTATCTTTGTTCATGAGAAATATTGGTTTATAGTTTTCTTATAATGACTTTGGTTTGGGTATTAGGGCAATGTTGGCTTCAAAGAATGAATTAGGAAGTATTCCCTCTGTTTCTGTCTTCTGGAAGAGATTATAGAGAATTTGTACCATTTCTTCCTTAAATGTTTGGCAGTAGTATTCACTGGTTAACCCATCTTAGTCTGGTGTTCTCTGTTTTGAAAGGTTATTAATTATTGGTTCTTTTCTCTAATAGATATAGGCTTAATCAAATTATCTTATTTCTTCTTGTATGAGTTTTGGCAGATTGTGTCTGTCAAGGAATTGGTTCATTTTATCTAGATGGCCAAATTTGGGGGCATAGGGTTGTTCATAATATTGCTTTATTATCTTTTTAATGTCTTTGGGGTCTGTAGCGATGTTCCCTCTTTCATTTCTGAGATTGATAATTTGCATTTGCTCTTTTTTGTTCTTATTTTGGCTAGAAGATTATCAATGTTGGTCTTTTTAAAGAACTAGTTTTTAGTTTTGTTGATTTTTCTCTATTTTCTGTTTTCAATTTTATTGATATCTGCTCTAATTTTTATTGTTTCTTCTGCTTATATTAGATTTAATTTTATTTTGTTTTTTGGTTTGCTAAGATGGAAGTTTAGATGGTTGATTTTAGATTTCTCTTCTAATATATGCATTTGGTACTGAAAATTTCAAATTACTGCTTTTATTGCATTCTACAAATTTTGATAAATTGCTTTTTATTTTATTTAGTTCAAAAATTTTAAAATTTCTCTCGAGATTTCTTTTTTGACCCATGTGTTATTTAATTTCTAAGTATTTTGGGATTTTTCTAGATATCTTTCTGTTCTAGTTTAATTCCATTGTGATCTGAGAGTAGGCATTATGTAATTTCTAGCTTTTTAAATTTGTTAAGGTGTGTTTGTTATTCCCCAAAATGTGTTCTAATTTGGTGAATGTGTCATGTGAGCTTGAGAGGAATGTATATTCTGGTATGCTTGGATTACCTAGCTGATAGGTATTCATTATATCCAGTTGATCAATGGTGCTGTTTAGTTCAATTATATCTTTACTGATTTTCTGTGTGCTGGACCTCTCCATTTCTGATAGAGGGATGCTAAAGTCTCCGACTCTAATAGTGGATTAATCTATTTCTCCTTGTTGTCCTATCAGTTTTACCTCATGTATTTTGACAGTTTGTTATTAGGCACATACACATTAAAGATATCTTCATGGAGAATTGACCCTTTGTCATTATAATGTCATTTTTCCCCCTTGACAACTTCCTTGCTCTGAAGTTGGCTGTCTGAAATTAATATAGTTATTCTAGATTTTGTTTGTTTAGTGTTAGTGATACATCTTTATCTAGTCCTCTGTTTTTAACTTATATGTGTCTTTATATTTAAAGTGAGTTTCTTATAGACAGAGTATAGTTGAGTACTTTTTAAAAAAATCTACTCTGACTTAAAAGTCTGTCTTTTACTTGGCATGTTGAGACCATTGATGTTTAAAGTACAAATTGGTGCAGTTGAATTAGTAGCTACCATATTTGTTACTGCTTTCTATTCATTGACCTTATTTTTTGTTCCTAAGTTTGTCTTCTACTCTACCTTTTGTAGTTATTGTGGTTCATTCTATTTTCTGTTTTTTCTTAGCATATTAGTTACTGTTATAGTTTGTTTAGTGGTTGCCCTAGAGTTTATAATAAATATTTAAAACGATGTAATGTTTTATGAATTTGCATGTCATCCTTGTGTGCGGTAGTGCTAATTTCTGTATTTTTCTAATTTTAGTGTATGTGCTGCTGAAGTGAGCACCTATTGTGCTTTAATCTTATCCTGAGGGGCCTCCTAGCAATTATTCTCTTTTAGTTGGATCTGATCAGCCTCAACAGCAGACACTGGTGTGAGGCAGACATGAGCATGTGCCCCTGAGTGCTAGCCCACGAGCCTGTACTCTTCTGAAAGTAGAAAATCCTCATGGTTTTATCACTGCCTGGTGTCTGCTGCACCCTTGCTTCAGTGTTAGGTTCAAACTCACAGGCAGATGCCTCAAAACCCCACAATTTTACTGCTGCACATTTTAAGGACTTTTTGTTCCCAGACATCACTTCTCCTTCATTTTCAGAAATGCCTTTTCTTCTCTGGAGATGAAAATGGCCAATAAGCCACCTATGTTTTAGAAGAAGGTAATATGATCAAAGTTTTAGGCCAACTCAGTAACACTCTTATTCTTTTTATTTTTTTAAACAGATGTGATATTTACTGGTACCGCAGATGGCCGGGTCATAAAAATTGAAAACGGTGAAGTAGATACCATCGCCCGGTTTGGGTCGGGCCCATGCAGTAAGTCAGTCACAGTCCTCCCCATGTATGTCTTGTCTCGTCATTCAGAAAGGTGCCAAATAGCCTTGTGTAAGTCAGGTTCATCCTTGGAGAAAAAGAGCCCTGATCATCTGGCGATAGGCTGATTTGGGTGTTACCACATGCTCTTCATTTGCTGGTGGTCCTTGGACCTCACGGTGCCTGGTTGTCACCCTTCATTGCATTTCCCAGCTAGGCAGTGGCCATGGCACCTGCCGCTTACTCTTAGCTCCACCCCTCTCTGTTCTGCAGAGGCCCGTGCTCACTTTTAAGGTAACTTGAAAATTAATAGGTTTGTTGAAATGCTACCATAGCAAAGCGGACAGCTTTGTCATTACTTGGATACTTAAATGTGATTCCTACATTAGCTTCTTAGGAATTTCAGCAGTGTCATTCAAAGTGAAAATACCCTGAAGTCACTCGAATTTTAGAAAACTAGAGTAGAAAAATCTTATTGTTTAAACACTGGTAGTCCTGACTTCTTCTTCTTATTATCATTTTTTAATAGCTGAAATGTTTTTTTTTAAGTGATGCCTTTTCATTGTGAAATGCAAACAACACAAAAGTACGAAGAAGAAAGTAAAAATCACCCCAGAGTCTTCTCAGATGTAATTGTTATTAACATTTTAGTGAATAACTTTTCAGATATCTTTCTGTTCATGAATACTCCCAGCCACTCATGGTTATATGGGGTGGACTCATACTTTACATTTGGTTCTTTAACCTGCCCTTTTCCACTCCATATTTTGGCTGTAAGTGTCCTCTGGTAAGCATCCTGCAGCAAGCACCCTCCTTCTGCTGTAACTGCGTCTGCAGTGAACACTCTGCAGTAAGCACCTTGTAGGAAGCATCCTGTTGTAAGCACTCCTGCAGTGAACATCTGCTTTCAGCACTCCATTGCAAGCACCCCACAGTGGGCACCCTGCAGGAAATATGCATTGCCATAGTTTTTTAAAATCCTCACCTGATGATATGTTTTACTGATTTTAGAGAGAGAGGGCTGGGGGTGAGAGGAAGAGAAACATTCATGTGAGAGAGAGACACTGATCAGCTGCCTCCCGCATACACCCGGACCGGGGATCAAACCCGCAACCTAGGCATGTGCCCTGACCAGGAATGGAACCTGCAACCTTTTTGGTGCAAGGGACCGCACTCAACCAACTGAGCAACACCAGCTAGGGCCCCAAAGGTTTTAAAAGAGTGTAGGTAGTAGAGCAAGAGAGTTAACCTAAGGAATAAAATAGAACTCTCCCTTTATGCCAGGGGGAGAGAAAACTATGCTACTAGATGGGCAGAGTATTCAGATCAGGCCGTTGGGATGAACCTCCCAGCTCCTGAGGTTCTGTGGGGATTCTGGAATCGAGGCCTGGGTCCTGATGACATCCCTGTGTTAACTGTTCAAGTCTTGGGATGCTGATGTGAACATGATTCTTGGGTACCAGTTGCTGTGTAAATGTCCAGACCTGGATTCTCAGGTGGTCCCTCTGGACATGCTGGACAATTGTCCTAAATCCTAGGTGCTAGAATACTGGGGTGCGGGTCTGTATCCCAATGCATGGTATATAGAACTATGCATAAATTTAGGAAGGGTTGGTGGGATGAGGTGCTTACACACTAATGGGGGCACAGACCAGCCACTGATTCCTGTCCGTTTGTTTCCCTAGAAACCCGAGACGACGAGCCTACTTGTGGAAGACCCCTGGGCATCCGGGTGGGGCCCAATGGGACCCTTTTTGTGGTTGACGCATACAAGGGACTATTTGAAGTGAATCCCTGGACACGTATGTGACAATATCTTATTTCCTTCTGTGATGATTTCAGATTTTTTAAACAATATGTGCATAAGTGAACTTAAGAGAATTTGTTCAATACAGTCAGCTGGAGACTCTGATATTTCTTACTCATTGAATAGTACTGCAAGCATCGCCTTACAAATATCAGCTAGCATAAGCACCATATAGATCCTTACTTGTGTGCATTTCGTCAGCACCCTAATTCCCTCTGGCGTTTGTGTTTTAGCCACAAATCTCAAGAGGAGGTTATTAGACCTCCTCCATCCATCTTTATTTTTCTGTCTCTCTCTTTAAAAAAAATATTTTTATTGATTTCGGAGAGGAAGGGAGAGAGAGAGAAAGGTAGAAACATCAGTGATGAGAATCATTGATCGGCTGCCTCCTGCACACCCCACACTGGGGATTGAGCCTACAACTTAGGCATGTGCCCTGACTGGGAATTGAGTCATGACCTCCTGGTTCATAGGTCGACCCTCAACCACTGAGCCATGCTGGCTGGGCTTTCTGTGTTTCTCTTGACGTCTTGTCTTCCTGTTTGTTTTCTGCCTCTCAGTCTTTTCTTATCCTTATCCTTCGCCTATGTCTTTTCATTTTCTTTCTCTAGCTTCTCCTCCCGTTCCTTTCCCCTGTCTGGTCATGATGTCATCTTGACCAGTGGCATAACATTCACTGTATGTGCTTTGGCAGGGGAGGGTCGTACCATGGAGGAGTTTGTTATCATGGAAGGTGCGGGGGGCCCTGGGTCCAGGCACTGCAGACCAACTGCATGGGTTTGCCATGCCATTGGCTGGCTGTGTGACTATGCAGGTTACTTAGTCTCTCTGTGAACACTGTCCTCATCCATGATAGGGATAATGTAGTAGCCTTCCTCGTGGGACTGTTGTGAGGATTTCAATGATATACATGGAAAGAGTTTAACACTCAATAAATGTTCTACTATTTAAAAAACCTACTACTTTCTTAAAAAAATAGTTTTTTATTGATTTTAGAGAAGTAGGGAGAGGGAGAGAGAGAGAGATAGAAACATTAACGAGAGAAATATTGATCAGCTGCCTCCTGCACACCCCTATTGGGGATCAAGCCCGCAACCCAGGCATGTGCCCCGACTGGGAATCAAACCGGCAGCCTCTTGGTGTATAGGATGACACTCAATCCACCGAGCCTCACTGGCTGAGCTACTCTTATTTCTTTGTTTAAAAGCAGATGAATAGAACAGTTTATATTTCTCTCAAACAAACAAATCGAGTGTTGCCTTTTACATAAACTTTTAAGTCAGTTGATCTCGATAAAAGCAAGTTCCTCATCCTCAGAGGAAGGGTTTTGCTTTAATGTAGTCTAAAAGTATTCATCAGCTAACTGATGAAAGAACGGAAAAACACTTTATTGTAAGAAGCAATGCATTTTTTGACATATGGCATAGAGAGGTTCATTTTAGTTTTTCTTTTTAAATCAGGCTAATTCATATTTCAAAATTATTGTGATATGAGTTCTTAGAACAAAAGCACGTCACTCTCTCCTTTCCTTCCTTTCTTCATTCCTTTCCTTTTCTCCTTTTCTTCTTTGCACTTCAGGTGAAGTGAAATTGTTGCTGTCCTCCGACATACCCATCGAGGGGCGGAAAATGTCCTTTGTGAACGACCTTACCATAACTCGGGATGGGAGGAAGATTTATTTTACAGATTCCAGCAGCAAATGGCAAAGACGAGATTTTCTGCTTCTGGTTATGGAGGGAACGGATGATGGGCGGTGAGTGTGTATTTCACATCTTTGCTCAGTGAGGTCATCAGTCAGGCAGGGGAGCTTTAGCAGAGCGGATTGCTTCTAGGAATCTTTGGAGTGTTTCTGAGCATAGTATTTCAGCATTTCAGATAGGACCTTCTGGAAATGGGTGATGGGTGCAACAGAACAGAGCAAGGGGACCTTACTTTCTCTTTGATGCGATGAATAAAAATAGGCCTGTTCGTGTGAGGATGTGGTCTGGGCAGTCTGGGAGAGCCCTACAAGCAGGCCTGGGTTTTAGGTTGTCTCTCTAAAGGGAACTCTGGTGAGGCTGGAGCCGTGGTGGCCCTGTGGTGTTGAGCCTGCTCCCGGTCAGTGAGAGGATGACTGGGGGATGTCTGGAAGAGGATGCCTGGGGCTGCCGTGGGTGGGGAAGGGCTGCTAGGGGCCAGCCTGGGACCAGGTCTGAGCAGGGGGCCTCCAGGGGCCTTGTCACTCCAGTGTGAGGCTGAGTCCCTTCCCGCAGGTCCCTGCCCAGAGGTGAGCCAGGCTCCAACCCAGCAGGTGGGTTGTGGACACTCGGTGTGACCCTTTGCTGTTGGCACCCACAGCCTGCTAGAGTACGATACTGAGACCAAAGAAGTAAAGGTTTTACTGGACCAGTTGCGGTTTGCTAACGGAGTGCAGCTTTCTCCTGACGAGGACTTCGTCCTGGTGGCAGAGTTGACCATGGCCAGGATAAGGAGGTGCGTGTGGCATCTGCTGAGCGGCCCGTGTTCACCAGAGAGCCTTGTGCCCGGGGTGGGTGTGGAGGTGTCAGTTGAGAGAATTCGAGAATTGACAGGGCACCTTCTCCTTTGTGTAATGATGTCAAACATCACACTCAAGGGTGTGTTTTCTTTCCCCATGTCTCACCTACTTGAGTGTCACCATCTGGGAGAGTCTTAATTTAATGCTGATGCACATCCCATGTGCCTTCCCTATCGGTGGGTCTTGGCGCACCGCATTTTCCCTAAACCGCATCTAGCTGGGCCCAGTGCTTGAGTGCCTCTTTCAGCAGCTGCACTTTTGTTCATAATGGACATACTTATAGTTATTTTCATAAACTTATTGGAACCAAGACTAATTTTGTGGTTGGCTAAAATTTTTCCTTAAATTGGGGGGCTGCTGCTCATACCTACCTGGGTGACTTTTTCAGAGTCTACGTGTCTGGCCTGATGAAGGGAGGGGTCGACCTGTTCGTGGAGAACCTGCCTGGATTCCCAGACAACATCCGGCCCAGCAGCTCCGGGGGTTACTGGGTCTGCATGTCGAGCATTCGCCCCAACCCTGGGTTTTCAATGTTGGATTTCTTATCCGAGAGACCTTATATTAAAAGAATGATTTTTAAGGTAACTGAAAACTATAATTCTAAGATTCAAAACTATAATTAGAAGATGCATCTAATTATGATCTAGTTTGATTTATAGCTCTAAAAATTCTAGTTCTGCTTGTAATATTTAGTACTTTCAGTGATTTCTTTAAACACCTTTTATTCTTCAGCATGACATGAAACTTAAACATTTGGACCTTTTGATTTTTTTTTTCTGGTTTTCTGGTCTAGGCGTTTTTATCATCACCCTCACCATCATGACTTTTTGGTGTCTCTACCCTGCCTGTCAGCCTCCCTCTTCCTGCTCTGAGATGGCTTTTTAAGGTTTCTCTTCTCCTCCAAACCCTGGATCCTGGCCTTCCCCTCCCTGTCAGCAGTTGACACTGCTTCTCCTCAAAGGGTTCCCAGGTGCCTCTTCCTGTGGCCATACGTGTAACTCACTCACCTTGGACCCATGCTGCCTTGCTCCCTCCTCCCTTCTTGGAACCTCCTGCCAGTCACCCCTCTCCGTAGGATTTTGCCCTTTGACATCTTAGCACACTGATTCTTCCCCATTTAAAACAAATCATTCACCCTTGCCAATGGCCAGCAGACCATTCAACACAGCCTTTAAATGTTGAGCATCCTACCCTTTCTTCCAGTGGCTTCCATGAAATGCCCCGAATGTAAAACACATTTTACAGTGGGGATGAGTCACTTGCTGATACAGGTACTTCCTTCATATAGAAATTTTATTTTCTGAAAAGTTTCTTTTTACAGGCTGAATAGTATCTGAAATTGATATTGAGTATTTGCATATATATTAAAATATTTATAACTTAAAGTCCTGAAAGGTAGCAGGCAGCAATTACTGAGGCCATGTGGTGCCAGGCCCTGTGTTTGGGCCCCAGTGAGGAGCTGCATACACCTGCTCGGTCAGGCTGTTCCATGGCCTTCAGTGTTGTTCTGATTTTAGCGGTCAATGTAGCAAATCCTGATTAGTTCAGAAAGAACACATCCTCCTCTACGTATGGCTGACTTCAGAGCCAACATCTGTTTCCATTGGAATCTAGGAGGAGGCAGAAGGGTAGAGTGGCAAGAAGAAGAATTTCGAAGATCACACCAGCTGCCCAGATGTGGTCTCTCTGCTTCAGTTGCTCCATCTGTCAAGTGGGAAGAAAATAGCATTTTATTACATGCTGAAAACATATAATGTGAATATGCACATAATGCCCTTAGCTGAGTGTAGTAAGTGTTCAGTTTTTGGCCCTCTTAGCTTTTCTTCAGCCAGGATGTGGCCCCTCGGTGGTGCATGCTGTCTCCCCTGATAGAATGTGTGCTTCATCAGAGCAGGTACTTTTCTGTTTAGTTTACTCCTTTATCCTCAGCACTGAGAACAGTGTCTGGCACATAGTAGGCACTCAGAAGTTTCTGTTGAATAAATGAGTGATTCGAGAGCTGAGACCATAAATATGAGAGAGAGCTGGAGCAGTGGGATGTGTTCCTGGTGACGGAGAACATGGTTAGGGTCCCTGAGCAGGAGAGCTCAGCATCTGTGTGTGACCTGAGACATGACAGATGATAGCAGGTGGGAGAAGCGGGTGAGGATCCTGGCCTTGTAGGAGGTTAGATTTTATTCAAAATGGGATCAAAGTCATTGGGGATTTTTTATTTTTGATACAATATTAGACATAGAAAAGTAGCAAGAAAGGCACAAAGAACTTTTTTCAAGAACTGTTTGCAAGTAAGTTGTTGCCTGATGCCCCTCAGATACTTAGTGTATTTCCTACAACAAGGACACTCTTCCTCAAGACCACCAGCCCAGACAGGAAAGTTACATGAACACCTGCCGCTGTCCAACCGCGCAGCCCATTCAGGTTGCTCGGGTTGCCCCAGTGATGTCCTTAGTTATTCAGCCCAGGATCAGACATGGCCCCCAGCCAACACACCTCCTCATTCTCCTGCGGTCTGGAGCAGCTCCCCAGTTTTGACCTGTTGGAAGGTTGCAGGTCAGTTATATTTCAGGAAGCCTCTCCATTTGGGTGCAGGTGTTTCTCGTGGTTAGAGTCAGGGTATGCATCTCTGGCAGAGACCACAGAGTGCAGCTGGGTTTTCAGTGTGTCCTGCAGGAGGGGCTGATGCCACCATGTCCCGTGCTGGTAGTTCATCTGATTCGGTGGTGAATGCCAGGCTTCTCCCCCGTGAAGCCACCCTTTTTTCCTTTGTAATTAATGAGTATTTTGTGGGGAGGCACTTTACTTTTTTAAATTTTATTTTAATTAATTAATTAATATTATTTAATTTATTTATTGTGGGGAGGCACTTTATAACTAAGTAAATATCAGTATTATCTTATGGTTACCTATTTTGCTCAGTGGGTTATATAATCTGTTACTATCATTATTTATTTGTTATTTCAGAGAGAGGAAGGGAGAGGGAGAGGGAGAAGGAGAGGGAGAGGGAGAAGGAGAGGGAGAGGGAGAGGTAGAGAGAGAGAGAGAGAAACATCAGTGATGAGAGAGAATCATTGATCGGCTGCCTCCTGCATGCCCCCTACTGAGGATTGAGCCCGCAACCCATCATGTGCCCTGACCAGGAATTGAACCATCCTGGTTCATGGGTTGGCGCTCAGCCACTGAGCCACACCAGCAGGGCTATCATTATTTACTTTGATACTTAGGTTGTCCAGCTGTGGCCACTGAGAGCCCTTCAGTGTGGCTCCGTGGCCTTTGGACATGCACCTATTATTCTTGGGTGGTTCCTTACTTTCTGGCTCATCTCATCCTTTCCCCACCCCAGCTCTGGAATCAGCCACTTCCTCAAGGAGCCTGGTTCCTTCTAGAGGAGATCTGGGGCTAAGTGTCACATAACTGCTCCCAGGCCCCCTCATGGACAAAGCAGGGAATGTATTTTGCATGTGTAGTCATACATGTATACACATATACGTATATACAATGTACATACATTTACACCTACATTTATTTATCATCTGTTTATTTAAATTGAAAACCATAAGTAAAGCTGGTTTCCCTATATCCAGCTTAATACCACAGGGTCTATTCTAGTTTTCTTCCTTTTGTATTTGTACTTCCTTTTTCTATTAGTGAGAAACCTGGATCCCCTTACCCTTCATACCTATTTGATCAGATTCCCCAAATGTCACCAATTTGTAGCCATTGTCCCCTGTCACATGGTCTCTGCTAGGGCTCTAGCACCAGCCTGGGCCTTCTCCCTCCTCGTGGCCATGTTGTGGGGCCAGCCTTTCTTCTGAGGGGCTCTGATACTTGCACAGCTTCCCCAGGTAAACACCCTCCTCATCCTGCTTAAGCTCTGACCCCCTACTCCGCGTCACTGTCCTTTCCCTTCCCTCAGTGTGGACTCTCCCTCACCCTGTTCAGACTGACTCTCTGGGCTAGGCCACTGGGGTTCCCCTTTTGCTCAGTGCAAGTTGCTGTATGTCTGCACACACCTGCCTCACTTGCCCCGCACGCTGCTTCTTGACTGAACTGTTTGAGAGGGGAGTAATGTGTTACAAAGAAGGTTGTAAAAAGATAACTGTAGCTGCCATGTGGAGAACAGCTTGTAGGAGGGTTCCACTGCTCGGGGAGCCCGTGTGGAGGTGGTTAGAGTGGCCAGGAGAGGCGTGGGCAGAGCCCAGGGAGGGGTTGATAATGCACAACAGATGACAATACCCCTGGGTGCTGGTTTGTAAGCTGGAGAGAGAGGGATTAAGTGTGAGGGCTGAGTTCCTGGCTTCAGCAGCTGGTGTCAGGAGCCCCATCTCCTGAGCTGGGGAGTCTGTTGAGTTTGAAGAGCTGTTAGAAATTCCAGGTGGAAATTCCCAGGTAGTGAGGAATTTAGCTCTGGGCATCAGAAATAGAGGCAGAGATTTGAGAGCTTCCTGGGAAAGTGACTAGTTAAACTAACGAGAAGGGATGAGATCTCTTAGGTACAAAATGGAGAGAGGAGGACCTATGGCTGAAGGGAGGTGGGATTTCATGGGTCCTGGAAAGGCTTATGGAATATTTTGAGCTGTAATGCAACTTTGATCCATCACTATAGAACCTTCTAGACCACAGTCGACTTGTATGTCTATTTGAACATTTCCAGTGACTAGGAGACATTATTCATTGGACATTTGTAATTGTGTGGCTATTTCCCCTTATATTAGAAGGCTGAACTTTGCCTATTGATTTTCATTTGCTGTTCTTATGCAGTGGTGTTCTTTGTCATCATTTTCTACATGTTATCCTTCTGCTCTGCCAGAAATTTATGTATCTCACCATGTTTTTCTTTGCTAAAACCTTTCAATAGCTTCAGGAGCCTCTTGTCCCGGCCCAGCCAGGGGCTAGGCTCCTGGAGGTGCCTGCTCAGCGTGGGCGTCTTTGGTCTCTGCACTGGCTGCAGGAGAGCCTAGAGCTGCTTCGTTCTCATAGGGCAGGGACTGTTGATGTGACCTGCTGAGGTTTTTGTCTTTAACGTGAACTGCTTTCAGATCTCCATCATTTGCACCTTGCACAGTTGAAATATCTTAAATATAATCAGAGGGCTTGGCATTTATTCCAGTCGGGCTGTGCTGGTTTTAACCCGGCATTCTGGGGTTGATATCACGCTGTGTCTTCCTCATATGTGATTTGTGCTTTTGTGTTCAGCCAGGGCATCCAGTGGTACCTACATTGCAGGATTGGGGGGTATCGCATAAGGCTGTTGGATAGCCACTGTCCTCGTGCTGGGTTAGCCTTACCTCTTGTACGCAAGTAACAGGAGGTGCCTAGGCCTGATGTGCTCCAGGCAAGGGGCAAGGCTGGGGGAGACCTGCTGTGGCACAGGCCCTGTGCTGGGAGTAGGGAACTGGTTTGACCTGGCTCTGCCCTATATGGCTTCCTCGTTACTGGAGGAGCTGGGCCCTTTCTAGATAGTGAGGGGCTGTGGGGTCTATTAAACAATAAAATTCAACAGAATAAATTTTAAAGAGCTTATAGGCTTTTTTCAATGATTCATGAACTGGGCAGCATGCAATCTAACAGATAAAAAGCAGCTCCAAGAAGCTGTACAAAATGAGAGACTTTTATAGGCAGAAGGGAATAGGAACAAGGACGTCACACTGAGCAAAAATCATGTTGGTGGCTGCAAGGTCACTTTCCTGTAGGGGGCGCAGGGTCGTCAGGCAGATGACCTAACTAGTGCTCATCAGGGACTGATTCCTGATTGACTGGCTTAAGATTCCATTTCTGGGGGAGCCTAAACTGTAAATAAACGAAGTCTTGGTTTGGTGACGTGGGCTTACTATCAGTGATTTCATTGGGGGCCTGTTGTCTTGTTTTTAAAAGGTCAGATCTGCTCACATTCTTTAGTCAGTAGGTCAGCTTCTCACACTGTGCTTCCCTTCCAGCTGTTTAGTCAGGAGACGGTGATGAAGTTTGTGCCACGGTATAGCCTCGCCCTAGAACTCAGCAGCAGTGGCACCATCCAGAGAAGTCTGCACGATCCTGATGGGCAGGTGGCCACCTACATCAGCGAAGCGCACGAGCATGACGGGTACCTCTACCTGGGCTCCTTCAGGTCCCCCTTCCTCTGCAGACTCAGCCTTCAGTCTCTTTAGCCACCCGATGGCAGCCCTGATCGTGGCTGTGCCAGGAGTTGGCACATGGCACCACCTGGTCTAGGAGGCACCATGGACACAGCCCTTTTCACTTGTAGCACTGTTCCTTGGAAGTGTGGTGTGACCCTGGGGAGGTATGTGCCCCTGCAGGACAGACTCACCTGGGTTTGACTTTGCACTTAGAGGGAAGCATAGCATATGCCATTGGAAGATATGTTCATGTAAAGCCATTTTCTCTTAAAAAATTCTAAGTACGGTAGTTCTCTAGGACTTGGGGGACATCATGCACTTTTGCAGGCCTCAGAGTTTTGATGGATAGAGCAGTAGATGAGTTGTCCAGGCATCTGGCTCTGTCCTGCCAGCCTCAGTATCTTCATTATAAAACAGGTAATGCCTGCTTATGGGGAGGAGCAAAGGAAGGGCATGGAGTGCTCAGTGCAGAAGTGCCTGTGCAAGCGCTGACCTCAGCACGACTTCTCCAGAGCTGAGCAGGGCACGGCCTCCACCCCTGGCCCTTTCCTCCCATTGCTTCCACCCCCAACCTCCTCCAGCTCATAACAGGGTTTTAAAAAAACTCCTGAGTCCTGTCATATACAGGCAGGGATCTGAGTAAGTGCATAGGAGAAGCATGATTTCAAAAGCTCCAAGAGGACTACCAGGGTTACTCTCTGAACAACCTACCACACGAATGAATGACCCAGCAGCTGGGTGAGTTTAGGGCAGTCCTATTTACACACCTTTGTTCCTCACCTCTAGACCCACAGGTGTGAATAGTACGGGTGTTAATGTCATATTTGCTTCAGTGTCAAAAGCCCAAAGTTGCTCTATGTCTACACACTGGTCATAGTTTTGTCAGGGAGACCTCTGTAGTGATGATAATTAAATAAACGTTTATGCTGATTAACCGTTTGTGATGGTGTTGCCTAGGAGTTTCTTTTCTTTAAATATAATTATCAGTGACTGAAATCTGACTCCAACCCATATGATGTGAGGATCATTTTAGCTGGGATCTTGTTTTAGGGTCAAGCAGTTCCTCTGGGGACCCCTCAGAGGGCAGCAGCGGCCTCAGGCCATTGCCTCCGGCCTTGATTCATTCTTGGGTAAGTTGATAGCACACTGCTCCCTGTTTTCCAACCTATGGAGTGGGGCTGATACCTATTTCTAAAGAAATGTCCTGAAGGACAGTTTGGGCTTCTGGGATAGTTTTTAAGAACTTGACTGGACAGTATTTTAACAGGTAATGATACAGTTCAAAGGGGATTGAGAGCTGTGGTGAAATCTGAACCTTTGTGTCTTGTCACACTGGCTGGCCTCCAACCCCTTCCCTCCCTTTTCCAGTGTAGCCAGCTCCGCCCATGCCCTGGTCAGCCTGATTTCGGGGGAAAGAAGTCCGGAGTCTAGCGGTGGCCTCATCTCTGTCACCCTCCTCCGGCCGGCTTTATGCAGCAACAGTAGAACCGAGTCAAAGACTGGCTTTCAGTCTAGGTGGTGCAACCCGTATTGGTCTCAGAATGAATGACTTACTATTTATGTAACTTTATAGGGAAAGGAAATTGAGTAGTGATTATTAGATATTTTCAAATAGATATGGTTGTACCCCATATAGCAAGTATTATAAGGAATAATGGGGGTAAAACCTCCGTCGGTCTCTGCCACAAAAAATCAATTTAAA